GAACAAGAAAATAATATAGAGAATCAATAAATCAGAGTTGGTTCTTTCAAAGATTAAATAAAATTGACAAGCCCTTAGCCAACATTATCAAAAAAAGGAAAGAAAAGCTTCAAATCCATGCCATTAGGAATGAAAAGGGTAAAATCACAACGGATCCTGCAGAGGTCTAGATCAACTTACCTCGAGAACTTGTATTCTAATAAGATGAAAAACACAGAAGAAATGGACAGATTCCTAGAAGCATGTAAATTACCAAGCTGAATCAAGGAGATATAAAATTAATTAATTAATTTTTTTTGTTGTTGTTGTTATTGGGGATGGAACTTGGGACCTTGTACTTTCAAGGCAGGCAGCAGAACCACTGAGCTAAATCCCTGGCTCAAGGAAATATAAAACTTCTAAATAAACCAGTATCAGTCAATGAGATTGAAGATATAATTAAAAACCAACCAAGAAAGAAAAGTGCAAGCCCAGATGAATTCACTGCTGAATTCTATAAGAATTTTAGAGAAGAACTAATACTGCAATTTTCCAACTCTTTAATGCAACTGAAAGGGAAGCAGTATTCACAAATTCATTCCATGAAGGATATACTAACCTCATACCAAAAGCAGACAAGGATCAAAAAAAAAAAAAAAAAGTCTATAGGTCAATATCCCTAATGAAGATAGATGCAAAAATCCTCAATAAGATACTGGCAAACAGAATGCAGTAAATGATTAATAAGATTATACACAATGACCAAGTGGGATTCATCCAAGGGATGCATGGATGGTTCAACATTCTCAAAATCAATAAATGTAATACACCATATTAACTGAAACAAGGACAAAAACTATATGATCAACTCATTAGATACAAAAAAAAAAAAAAGGGTGACACAAAGTTCAACATCCATTCAAGATAAAAACCTTGTACACAACAGGAATAAATGGTCTTTATCTCAATCTGATAAAAGCCTCAATGACAAACCAACAGCCAACATCACATTAAATGAACAAAAACTGAAAGCTTTCATGCTAAAATCAGGAACAAGAAGGATGCCCGCTATCACTATTCCTATTCAATATCACTCTGGAAACATTAGCAAGAGTAATTAGACAAGAAAAAGAAAAGGAATAAGGATAGGAAAGGAAGAAGTTAAATTATCATTACTTGTAAATGACATGATCCTCTATACTGATGATACTGCACCAAAAGACTTCTAGATTTAATACCTAAATTCAGTAGTGTATCTGGATACAAAGTCAACACCCAAAAATCAATCCTATTCCTCTACACAAATAACAAACTCACTGAGAAATTAGGGAACTAACACCTCTCAAAACAGCATCCAAAAAGAAATGAAATACCTAGGAATCAATCTAACAAGGGAAGTAAAAGAACTTTACACTGAAAATTATAAAAAGGAGCTAGTAGAGGATATCAGACAATGGGAAAATATCCCTTTTTCTTGGGTAGGAAAAACCAATATAATGAAAGTGACCATACTTCCAAAACTGTTGCATAAATGTAATGCAATTGTGATCAAAATACCAATAGCATATCTCACCGAATTAGAGAAAACAATCCTAAAATTTACTTGGATCCAGAAGAGACCTAGAATAGCAAAAGCAATTCTGGGAAACAAAAGTAAGGCAGGGAGCATCACGAGCCCTAACTTGAAATTATACTACAAAGCTACCATGATAAGAAAAGTATGATACTATCGAAAGAAAAAAAGGAAGGAAGGAAGAAAGAACAAAACTGATGCTCAGTGGAACAGATTAGAAGATGCAGAAAGAACTCCAAACACACTCACAGCCACCTTATCTTTGACAAAGGAGCCAAACACCTTCCAGTAGAAGAAAGATGGCCTCTTTAAAAAATGTGATGTAAAAACTAGCTTTCCACATGCTGAAGAATAAAACTAGACCCATATCTTTCACTATGCAGTAGACTAAAATTGAAATGGATCAAAAATCTAAATATTAAAACAGAAACACTAAATCTGCTGGAAGATAGAATAGGCAGAACTCTTAAAGACACTTCTGTAGGCAAAGACTTTATGAACAAAACCCTAATTGCACAGGAAATAGCACAAAAAGTCAACTGGGAGCTCATTTTATTAAAAAGCTTTTGCACAAAACAGAGTGAAGAGACAATCCACAAAGTAGGGAAAAAAATTTATCAGCAACTCCTCAAAGGACTAATATCTAGAATACATAAATAGTTCCAAAAAATCATAACTCCCTAAATTTAAAGGCCCAATCCAAAATGGGCATCTCAAATGAACAGATACTTCTTAAATAAAAAAGTAGAAACTACCCTCCCTTCACCCCCTCCTCCCATCCCCATTTACAAAAACATTACTTCCTTTTCTTCCTATGTCACATTATCAATTATACCATTAGGATCTTATTTATAATTACAGTTTTTCACAGCAGAGAACCTATTCAGTATTTACACGTGTGACTTATTTATTTCACTTAAGAGTATATCCTCAATATGCATCCATTTTCCTATGAACAACTCTAATTTATCATTTTTTATGGCTGAGTAGTATTCCATTTTATAGAAAAACCACATCTGAAGGAGGGCAGGGGTATGGGGAAAAAATGAGAACCAAGACTTGTAATGTAAAGGTACAAGATCCCAATGATGAATGTAACTGTACTGTATATCTAAAATGTACCAATAAACTCAACTGAGAAAAAAAAGTAGAAACTATAGGAATCCAGAAAGGGAATGTTACCAGAACACTTCCAATGGGTCCTGACACAAAGGGGATAAAGAATAAAGATAAGAAATGAGGCTTAGTGAAGAAGATGGGTTTTGGCCCTGATCAGTGCTGCTCTAGGCAGCAAATACAAACACACCCAGAGCTTGCCACTATTGTTCAGTTCACAGGGTTATGTCAGATGAGTAAGAGGCTGGCAATAATCCTAAATCAGAGGAAGTCTCAGATGTCTATGAGGGTGGTGGCAATCCTAGGAAGGATCTTATGTTGATGAGGATCTTAGGTCATTAAGGAATTTAAACTGATTAGTGTAGTAAGATGGTGAGATGAGCAAAATGTTCTTACAACAGTGGGCGGGAAGTAGCTCAGTGGTTTTATCACCTGTCTCGAAAGCCCAGGGTCCTGAAAAACCCAACCAAACAAACAAACCCCAAAAAAACAGTAGGTGGGATGAGTTAAGCTGATAAGGAATTTGTCCCTCCCCAGGTGAAACCTTTCTCTTTTTATATTACTATTCAGTTCTCAAAGAACCAAGATGTCTTCAGCTGATGTAATCTTGCCCTTGAGAGTCACAGCATCATGGGACTGTTGATGCCTCAGACAGCCCTAATCATAATTTAATTCTGAAATGATTTTTTTCCCCAAAATTATGTAGAATGGCTCCTGACAAGAAAGAGCCAATAAATGTATGGAAAAATGTTCAATCTCACCGGTCATTTGAGAGATGCAAATTAAAACAATGTTGACATTCCATTTCACTCCAGAAAGAATGGGTACCATCAAGAAATCAACCAACAGCAAATGCTGGTGAGGATGTGGGGAAAAGGAAACCCTCTCCACTGCTGGTGGGAATGTAGACTGGTGCAACCACTGTGCAAATCAGTGTGGAGATTCCTCAGAAAACTAAAACTACAGGTTCCATTTGACCCAGTTATTCCCCTTCTTGGCATCTTCTCCAAAGAATTAAAAGCATCATACCACCGCAATATATGCACACCCATGTTTATAGTGGCACAGTTTATAATAGCTAAATCTTGGAAACACCCCAAATGCCATTAACCAATGAATGGATAAAGGAGATACGGGTTTTTAAAAATATATAATGGAGTACTACTCTGCCATAAGAAGGATAGCTAAATGGATCCACCTTGAGACCATATTCTTTAGTGAAATAAATCAGACATACATGTTTAAATTTTCTGTGGTGTGAGAAACTAACAGGGTAAATAAGGACCAAAATATATAATAGATATTGGTAAATGAGAAGAAAATATTCAAATGAAATGGGAAACAAGGGAGAAGGGAGGGATAAAGGAAGGAAAGGATGAGAAAATGGAAATAAAGCTTTTGTAAATAATAAGGAGGTGAAGAAGGGTTGAAGGAAGAGGAGGTAAATAGGGAAAAAAAGTATCAGTTATAGTATGTACATGTACAAATTTCCTATGATGAATGTCATCACTATGTCTATCTAAAATGTACCAATAAAGATAAAATCAAGCAATGAGTCTGCATTGTGATAAAAAAGTCTACCAACATAGGCGTTTGCTCATTTCTAGTTTATGAAGTCAGTTGGTGCCATAGACAGTGAGCAGGCAGGTGGCGGTGCCCTACTGGGGGGGTCTCTGCCTGCAAGGCTGTTACCAGGTTTGGCTGCCACCACTGCGGCACACAGATGTAGCTGCTCCTTTTTGTGCCAGCTCTGTTTGAGTTGCAGGGCAGCAGCCCACAGCTTCAGTGACCTCTAGGAATGTCAGACTTCAATGACATTTGGAAACTTTGCATACATGCACCATCACCCACATATGTGTACACTGAGCCAAGTAAAGTTGTACGCTACAAATATCTAGAAAGGACAGAGATCACAAACTCTCAGAGTAGAAAAAGTACCATCTTTTGGTGAAACAGCAGAAAATATAGGCGCAGAACCTAAAGCAGGAACTGCTCCAAGTAGGAGTTAAAGCAGTTAAGAAAAGGGAGTATGGATCAAAATACACTCAGAGTAATTTCATCGCAGGAGTCAGAGAAATAAATGAGTTCTGCCTCAAATCCAGTGATCTAGAACAGCTTCGAAAAATCACACAATGAAGTCCCCATAAAGATACTGAGTCCTTGGCTGGGGATTTAGCTCAGTGGTTCCGCCACCTGCCTCATGATGTAATCATTATGTACCAAAAACATGTACTAGTTAAAAAAAAAAAAGACTTTAAGAAGTAAACTCTTGCAAGAATTAAGCGTATCTATTTAAAATTTTAAAAAATGATTAATATAAAAATCAACTTACCAATGATGCCACTATCTCTGCTTTCAAGAGTGGAGGTTGGACTAGTAACAGCCCCATAGCTACAATCCTTGGCAGTTGCATTTGTACTGACTGGTGGGAGAGTAGAGCAGGGGCTACTGGCTGGTGGAGAGGCAGTGCTGCTAGTCAGGGTGGAACAAGGACTAATCCGCTGAGTGATTGCTGAGGTCTGAAAAATCAGAATCAAGTGAAGTAAAATAAACCAATCAGTTGTTAAAGTAAAGTATATCTTATGGCAAAGTAATATTTTGATAAAAAAGAAGAAATATTCCACAGGTACAGCTTTTATATCTCTCTGTATTTGCTTTCTGAGAAGTTCTACAATGAAGACGAAATGATGAATTTAACAAAACCAAAAACTTGTTGACAGGAACTTTACATTATCATTCACTAATAGCATACAGAAATTTCTTATTAAGCACAAATTTTCCTTGCTATTTCCAATTGATAAAACTTTTCAGAAGGTTTCGAACTTTGTTAATAATTTTCTTTAGTAGGAAAAAATAATACCTTTGCAACTAGGAAGAAACAAAAATAAAGTTCTTAATGAAAAGAAATGTCTTTTTTCGATACACAAGCAACTGCTCAGAGACACTAAATGATTACAGGGAAAATTTCTTATTTTATCCAATAAAATAGATCAAATTATATTAACTTAATAAAACTAAACTTCTCTGTAAAAACTATTTACAGACTGAGATCCAACCATATCTTGAATTTTTCTTTTTTCCTTCTACCCAATTACTGAAATAGTAAATAAAAGTACATTTTTGTCGAATACAAGGAAATTTTATACTTTTCTAAATGCTAAATGATCAGTAACAAAATTACTTAAAGAATTGATGATAATTTTAACATGCTTAAATATTAAATCTTTTTGCTTCTTTATATACCTAATATTCACATTCTATCTGCTAAAATTGAGGACTTACACTTAATAAGTAGAATGCATTAAATTATGAGCTGTGAAACAAATTAAGATGCTTAAACCCTTTCTATGGTAATTTCAAGATTCAATCCCTTTTATATAATCATAATGTCCAACACAGTTTTTATTTTAAATACTATACCCATGTCATAAAAGATACATTATACTCAATTATGTACAAGTGACAATCTCATTAGCCTGCAATTAAACAAATCCTTTCAGTCATATTAATAATATTAGGAACTGATTTTTAAAAATAACCTAATAAGCAAACAATATGCAGATATATTTTATTATATAATATCTCTCCAGAAGAGAAAGAAATTTCAGTTTCCTTGTAATCTCCATTTTTTATAAAATGTTGTTAGTGTACCAGAGGAATTTTTAAATAGATATGCTGCAGAATTACCTTTGTGATGTAAAAAACCTAACTTTGAATACCTAAAGCCCATCCTAACACCCTAGAAACTACTGAAAGAAAAAGTGGGTCAGTTGAATGTAACTTAATACTTTTGTCTTTTTCAGAAAAAATTATATATGATAACCTGCTTATATTAGATTCTGTTACCATTACTACTATCCTGAGGACATCATCATGATAGGCTCTTCCAAAACACAGAAGTCTACCTTTGATAGTATTGCATTTAGCTCAGAAGATAGTCACCATGAGAATCACAAAGAATATTACTACCTACCTCCATTTAAGGAATGTGAAAATGAAATCTTCAAAAATATGAAAGCAATGAAGTAATTTCCCCATACATCAGGCAGGTCTGCATACAATTATCTACTAATTTTGTTATATATTTTTATACCTTTTATTTATATGACATTTAAAAGCTGTCAAAGTACTTTTATATTCATAAACTAATTTGATTCTCACAACAATCTTGTCAGGCATCATTTTATATTACACTAGAAGAGTATGGTGCAGCTATTAAGAACACAGATTATAAAAGTAGACTGCTGCCTGGATATGCACATCATTCCATCAAATTCTGGCAATGTATTTCTGTTTCCTTATCTGAAAACTGGAATGTGAATGGACTACACCATAATGTGTTGTAAGGAAGCCTAACAAAATAGTGCAAGAATAGGTAGGGATGTAACTTAGTGGTAGACCACTTGCTTATCATGAATAAGGCCTGGGATATATACCTAGTTCTGAAAAAAAAGTGCAAGTAAATCATTTATCAGTAAGCCTTTAATTGTCAGTTACTATTACCTATGAAAACACTGAAGCCCAGAGAGATTGACAGATACAAATTTGTAAAATGGTAGGTGTCTGAAGTGAAACTAGCACACAAGTTTTCTACCTCCTGATTCAGTCTTTTTTTGTTATACCATATTGCCTTAATTACATTAAATCAAGATATTACTCATTTAAGATTTTTTTATTCAGTAAATTTATAAGTAAGGCACATATATAGACTTGGAACTTTACTCAGAAATTTTTTTTTATTTTTTTTCAGCTTTAATTGAGTTTATTGGTATATTTTAGGGATACAGTACAGTTACATTCATTGTTGGGATCTTGTACTTCTACATGACAGGTCTTGGTTCTCATTTTTTCCCCTTGTCCCTGCCCTCCCTTCACCCCCTTCTCCTCTAGATATACTGTGACATGAAGAATCTCAAAAGCAAAAAGCAGGGCCAGGGATTTAGCTCAGTGGTTCCATCGCTTGCCTTGCAAGCACAAAGTACTGAGTTCAATTCCCAGTACCAAATAAACAAACAAATAAATAAAGCAACAAGCATAAATTTCGTCACCTTAGGAAATGTTGCTTTGTAGAATGAAAGAAGTCCTAAGAAAATATTCATGTTACAAGACTTACATTATGTCACTTGGTTGTTATTAATTTATCCCCCTATTCATTCTCATTCTCATTCTCTCTCCCCCCCACACACCCTCCCTCTCCCCCTCCTCCCTTCTCTTCTATAGGGGTCGAAACCAAGGCTTTTACACTGAGCCACATCTCTGGTCATGCCTCTTTTTTTTATTCTTAATTTTGACACAGTTTCTTCCTATGTCATTTACTTGTAGAGGCTGGGCTCAAACTTGTAATCTTCCTGATTCAGCCTCCCAGTGTGCTGGGAGTACAGGTGTGCTGCAGCAGTCATACTTTAATTTGGCATAAAAACGAAGAAATGAAACATGAAATAGATGATTTATCTATAACAATATTTAAAAGCCTTCAATATAAATAATTTGTTTTTTATTCAGAGTATAGGTGTGCTGACATTACAATGTAAATTTACAGTGTAAAAAGTCATCAGTCTTAGCTGTGTTTGTAATTCTAGCACTCTCTGAGTGTGAAGAAGGAACACTGCAAGGTGCAGTCAAGCCTGGACAATATAGTGGTATTCTGTCTCAAAATTTTAAAAAGGCTGGGGATGTAGCTCAATGTCCAAGACCCAGGTTTATCCCTAGTACTGGGGGAAAAAAGTCATTGGTCTTTCCATGGTGAACGTTACTTTCTTTTATGAAATATAAACAAAAAGCCCACAATTAACATTAATATTTTGTCAGTTAATGATAAGAGCTTTGAAGAAAATAAATCATAGGGTAAGAGGTCATAGTGATGGGTGGGTACTATTTGTTAAACTCATTAAGGAAGACACCTCAAATGATGATATCTGAAGAGAGACCGAGTCAAGTGAGGAAGTGAATCCCAATACAAATGAAAATGCTTTAACAACAGGGAGGTCCAATGTAGCTGGAGGGTGGGTAAAAGTGAGGGACAGAAAATGAGGAGAGGTAGCAAGGGGCTAGATCAGGTAGGGCATTCCTAGGTATGATGAAGATTTTAGAATTTATTTTAAGTGTGATGGGAATACACTGAAAGATTAAAAGCAGAGAAGGGACAGAATCATATTCACATTTTACACGCATCACTGTGGCTACTGTGTGAACAGAATACAAGGAGACAGGAGGGGAAGTAGAGACCTACTAGGAGCTCATTTATTTATGCAATCAGTACCTAGCACCTACTACTGTTCAATACTGTTCCAGGTGCAGAGGGTATAGCAATGAATAAACCAGGCAAAGCCTCAGGCCTTCTGAGGTAACATCTGTAGATATCGCAGTAGTGTAGGCTACAGATGAAAGTGGCCTAGACTTAGGTGCAGCAGTGTAAGTAGTAAGAAGAATTAAAATTTTAGTATATATTCTGAATACAAGAGTCGGTGATTTCCTAGAAGAGTGAATGTGCAGTATGACAGAGAGAAATGAAGAATGGCTCTAGTGCTTTTGTCTTAAGAAAGTAGGGATACCATTTATTCAGCTAGGGAACTCTGAATAATGAGCAGGTTCTGGGAGAAAATGTAAAGGTCAAAGTTTTAGTCTACTGAGATCATCTTATACAGGTAGAAAACATAATACAGGCAGTTGAATATAGAGATCTAGAGTTATGGAAACCAGAGATAATTCCAAAGTTAAGACAGTATTTACAGAAAAAAGAATGAAGGAGAACAATAGGATTAGAGTCACCAGGCATCTAAATTTAGTAAAAGCTTCCCAGGTGACTGATGTACAGTCAGAAATACCAACAACACAGTGTTGATGATGAAAACAGAAACCTAAGGGGTAGAGTGATGGAATACTTAAACATTATCCACAAGACATAAATATATTGAAATTATCCTCAAACATAACAAAACTAATTTATGACAAAAACATCACCAATATTTATTAAAGAATATGCAATTTGGAATTAATTTCTGTCATCTAAGTAAAATGCTTCACAAGAAGACATTCACATAAGTATTAAGAACACAAAAATGAATGTAGTGCCTTCTTTGCCACACTTAAATGGAAAACAATGGAATTAGCCAAAAGAAAGAAAATTAATTATAAAATTAAATAATTATGCTCATATTTTAAATTTTTTTCAGATGGATATTTAAACTATTAATTTTTCAGGTTTTCTGCTTTTCTAAATGTATGCATTCAAAATCAGTTTTTTGGAGCAAATTTTAGCTATATCCTGTAAGTTTTGTTATGCTTAAGTTTTCAATATTGCAGTTAGGTATATTTTCTAATTTCTTGTGATTTCTTGGACTCAAAAGGTATTTAGAAGTGTATTAGTTAAACTGAAGGACATGCAGATTTTCTAGGTATCATTTTCTAATCTATCATTTGGTAGCTAATATGGTCAGAGTAATTGGAACCTTCTGAAATTTGTCAACTGCTCTATGGCTCAGTATATTACCAACACGGAAAAATGATCCATGTGCATTTGCAAACTGTATTCTATATAATTTCTGGATGCAGTGCTCATGTCACTTTTGTTGTATAGCTTATTTATTTAGTAATTCATTAATTCACTGAATGAATTAAAGTCCAAAAGTATATTTCCTACTTTTAAACCTAAGAATAAAAGTAAAAGATATTTCATAAACTGAAGAAATACAGCAATTATGGAAAATTAAGCTAGACTTTAAGCCTCAAAAGACATTCATCGATTGGGATTATCCTTCTTAGAATGGACACACACATATATTCTATTTTTTTTTCTGACATAACATGCTGATTCATACCATGTTTCACAAAGTTAGCACATGCACCTTACCTGACTTTCGTCCTGTACTTCCATGCTGTATTGGTCACCTGGCTGAACTTCCGTAACTTTTTCTCCAAGGAGAAAACCAAGACGAGTCATGAGTGTGTTCGCTGCCTCATCTACAGATGGAGGGGGGCCAAGTTCCTGTTCAGCATCACCTGCAACAAAAAAGCATCGCAAAACATGAATCCTTCAAACTAAAATGTTCCAGTTCTACATACATCTCTGGCTCATTCCTATTTAACACTGGATGATGTTCTATTATATGTATGTACCACATTTAGTTTATTCATTAATCTGTTGTTGGACACATTGATGACTGTTACCATCTTTTTTTTTTTGTAAATAATGACAACATGAACACTGGTACACAAGAATATGTCTGAATCTTCCAACAAACTTTTCACGGTTTTCAGCTTCCATTAACATTTCTTATTTGAATTAACTACTATGGTTCTTGTCAAATAATAATTTTTCTAAACTCATTATTTTTAACCTTGTCTATCTATAGCAGTATGAACTCACTGATTACTATCTTATCCAATGGAGTATAATATGTTACCATCTGTGGGAGCCGGCCATGGCCCTCTGGCACTTGACATTGGAAAAGTAACTTCTTCTACCACTGAGGCATTGATGCAATCTATTACTCTATCTGTTTGTTTATTTGGCTTTTCTGAGACAAGGGTCTCAGCTATGCAGATGAGATTGACCTGGAATTCACTGTGTAATCCAGGCTGGGTTTATGGGATTACAGTTGTGCACCACCACGCCCAGCTCAAGGACCTTGTTAAATTTGTTCTTTGACCTTGTGATGGGAGGAACTCAGAGAGAGCCAAAGATCTGATCTTCTCCTAGTAAGAGTGAGAAAATCCGGTGTTTGCATACAAATAGTTGCTTGGTGATTCCTGTTGGTGTGCCTTCAAAAGGAGCTGTTTCTGTGAAATATGAGCTCTTGTCTCCACACTATTGAGTGTGCTGTCCTTTCTCAATCCTCACTCCCCAACTCAGGTATGTTCGTGTTGTGACGGCTGGATCGCCACAACCATCAGTATTTATTCAAACTTGTGCTAGATTCAGCAAGGGTAAACCCCTTTAATTTGGCTCCTGTGACCTTTTAACATATTCTTGTCATTTTCTGGACCCTAACTTTTTAATACAAGACGTTTCAGGCTTGTCCTGTTCTTGCCACATCTCAGCTACAGAATCAGTTTAGTTTTCCAAGAAGCCCTGGTTCTTCCTAGGGGAGAAAGGTATTCAGATTATTAAGAGCTGTACCTTGTGTATGCTCATTGCTATTTGGATAGCACTTCCTTAGGCCCTCAGGCAGTATTTGCATATACGTATCTGTGCAAATGTATGTATACATATATATATATCACTCTATTTTAATTTGCAAACCTACACAGAGAGATTAATAAGGTGAATTTTGGATTTTCTTTCACCAAAGTTGTATGCCATTTCTACAATAGTGAGAAACTACACTCCCTTTATTCTTATTTAATCTGTTCTCCCTACATGTAGCACATTTTACTGCTGCCCACTGCTACCCTGCACACAGCTATTCTCCTTAACCTGGATGGGATCTGACTCCATGCTAGAGAGGCCTCAACTGTCACTATCTTGTGGTTGGGTTCATTTTTTTTCCACTAAGATATAATTCACATACCATAAACATAGTATACAATTCAGTGGTTTTAGCTTATTAATCTCTCAATAGTTTACATCGAGTGTCACTCAGGTAGCATAGTTGTTTATATAATGACTATCCGGAGCATCAGATGGGCAAGTGTCATTTCAACCAGTCAACTTCTATTACATAAACTTGATAAAATTGTTGTTTTTTAAGTATTTCCTGTTATCTTATAAAAATTAATGAAAAATATGCTGTTTTTAACTATCCTGTATTTAAATAACTGGACTGGCGAGTGGTTAATAACTTTATGCAACCATTACCAAGATGTAATTCCAGAATGTTTTCATCACTCCAGAAAGAAAGCCTACTATGGTTCATTTTAGCAGTGAAATTTAGATCCCTAAAACTCCTGATGTCTGGCATTCATTTTCGCCCTCTGCTCATGAACTGCTACACTCTTTTCACATAGTTTTTTAGTTTCTCCTTCCAGTCTAGAAAATTTCCTAATGAGTACCAAATCATACTTTGATTATGAATGATTTTATGGCTATGAATAATGGTTATGAATAATTTTAAAGGTTTTCAATGAAAGATGCAAAACACAAGGTGTAATTGAAATATATGGTGAATTTTTAAATTTTAAAAATTTATTACAGTAAAAGCACAATGCCATTAATCCTCCTCAAAATACTCCACTTCAAACACACTTATTCCATCATTACTGCTACTTTCTGAAGTCGTTCTGGAAGTCCTGTTTTGTGACTGTATTTATAAGAAGTGATAAAAAAGATGTGATTTAAAAGATGTGAATTCTGCTACCATGTATCATCCAAGAGAAAGGCAGGCTCATTTCCTGGATCAGGCACCATGTGACGTCTGCCTCTTTCCCAAAGATGCAAGAACCATGGAAAGCAAAGATTTGAACTGATTCAAGATATCAAGGTTATAATAACAGCACAACTAAATATGCTTAGATAAAAAAATCTAGATCTGCTTCAGAAAGTGGCAAGAATGATGGATTCAGTGTGTTTGAAGTGAAGAGTATTATTCGGACAGGGACGAATGACTATTGCTATAATAAATTATTTAAAAATATATTTGAATTTTCACCATATTTTTTAAATCAAACTTCATGGTATAATTTTGTTCTTCTCTCCACTTAGGCCAACACTCTCAAGATGTATTTCTTTCTTTCCCTTTTTTTGGAGACAGTGTCTCACTATGTAGTTCAGACTGCCCTGGAACCCACTGTGTATATAGCCCAGACTGGTCTCAAACTCACAGCTATCCTCCTGACTCAGCCTCCTGAGTGCTGAGATTACAGGTGTGTGCCACCATGCCTGGTTAAGATGTATTTATTTCTAAATAATTTAAAGAAATCATGTAAAATGAGCCAGGGAACTAAAAATGATTATAAATATGATGGGGAAAAATGTATCAAACAAGTATCCATGCACATGAACTTGACTATTAATATTTTCTGAGGTTTTAAGTGTAGATGTGTTCAATCTCAGCCTACCACGTAATAATTCATACTAGCACAGATCCAGTAGGATATTATAAAACTCGTTTTATGGAGATTAAAAAAGATATTAGAAAAAGAAAAGACAGCCTCTGTTCATGGCTAGGTAGAACCAATATAGTGAAAATGACCATATTTCCAAAGCCATTATATAATCAAAACACCAACAGTGTATCTCACAGAACTAGAGAAAACAATCTTAACATTCATATGGAATCATAAGAGACCTAGAATAGCAAAAGCAATTTTGGGCAGCAAGGGCAAGGCAGGGGGCATCACAATCCCCAATCTGAAGTTATACCACAAAGCTATAGTGATAAAAACAGTACGGTACTGGCAAAGAAACAGACCCACAGATCACTGGAAGAGAACAAAAAATGCAGAAACAATCCCAAGCATACTTAGTTACCGTACCTTTGACAAAAAGTTTGTTTCTGTCATAGAGCAGAAATAAAATAATAGACACTTTTATATTATAAATACTATATTTAAATTTACATTGTATTTTCCTAAGAATGATTGAAAACTTATTATTCCTTGATGAAATGAAAATATTGCTCTTCCTTCTAGACTTAATTGACACTTTTAGCAGAGTAGCTGCATACAAGGTCAACAATACTCAAAAATCAATAGCCTTCTTGTACACAAATAACAGACTCACTGAGTGAGAGATTAGGGAAACAATTCCTTTCACAATAGCATCCAAAAAAAATGAAGTATCTAGGAATCAATCTAATGAAAGAAGCAAAAGACCTCTACACTGAAAACTACAGCACTCTGAAAAAAGAGATCGAAGAGCATATAAGAAAATGCTCCTGGGTTAGGAAGAATCAACAGAGTGAAAATGGCCATACTACTAAAACTGCTATACAAATTCAATGCAAGGCCAATTGAAATTCCAGCAGTATATTTCACGGAACTAGAAAAAATAATCCAAAAATTCATTTGGAACCAGAAGAGACCTAGAATAGCAAAAGCCATCCTAGGCAACAGACACATGGCAGTGGGTATAACAATTCACAAATTGAAGCTATACTACAAAGCCACTGTGATAAAAACACCATGGTACTGGCAAAGAAACAGACCTGAGGATCAGTGGAATAGATTGGAAGATACAGAAACAACTCCAGATGTACTCAGCTACTTCATCTTTGACAAAGGAACCAATCATCCTCACTGGAAGAAAGATAGCCTCTTTAATAAATGGTGTTGGAAAAACTGGATTTCAAACTGCCAAAGATGCAAACTAGACCCTTATCTTTCACCATGCACTAAACTAAAATCCAAGTGGATTAAAGATCTAAATATTTAAAAAGAGTAACTTAATCTGCTGGAAGATAAGTTAGGCAGAACTCTTGAAGACACTGGCATAGAAAAGACTTTATGAACAAATCCTCAGTATCACGGGAACTAGCAGAAAGAATCAACAATTGGTATCTCATCTTATTAAGAAGCTGCATTACAAAAGAAACCATCAACAGAACTAAGAGGCAACCCACAATGCGGGAAAAAATTTTTACCAGCTGCTCCTCAGACAAAGGACTATTATCTAGAATACATAAAGAACTCAAAAAAAAATCAGCCCCCAAATATAAAAACCCAATTTAAAAATGGGCATCTGAAATGAACAAGACATTTCTCAGACAAAGAAATAAAAGCATCAAGTAAATATATGAAAAAAAGTTCCACATCACTGGTCATTTGAGAGATGCAGATGAAAACAACACTGAGATTCCACCTCACCCCACAAAGAATGGCTGCTATCAAGAAATCAAGCAATAACAAATGTTGGAGGGGTTGTGGGGAGAAAAGAACCATTCTCCATTGTGGGTGGGAGTGCAGACTGGTGCAACCACTATGGAAATCAATATGGAGATACCTCAGAGAACTAGAAATTAGAGGTAATAAGGGGAAAAAATGAGAACCAAGACTTGTCATGTAAAGGTACAAGATCCCGATGATGAATGTAACTATACAGTATACCTAAAATGTACCAATAA